GGCTTTGCCTGGCTTTAAAATGGTTAATATCTTGGAGCGCTTTAGTTCTTGTGGAATATTTCCAGTTTCCATGATGTCTGTGAAAAATCAAGCCAGCCAAACTTTTGTATATGCCGGTGACAATATGCAACTCTGTCTAACTCCTTTGACGACTAAGAAGATCTTACATCCTTACCATCAAGTCCTGATGTTTTTAGGATATCGATTAGTTTCCCATGTGGGACTTTATCAGATGCCTTCTCGAAATCAATGAAACATGCATACATATCGCAGTTGACATCCCTGACTCTATGTATTAGAACTTTCAAACTAAAAAGTGCTTCCCTCGTTCCGAGTCCTGCTCTGAATCCAAATTGAACTTTACTCAGGTGTTTTTCTAATTTAGTGTATATGCGCGAGTGAATAATAGTAAGAAGTACTTTAAGTACATAGCTCATCAAACTAATTAATCTATATTCTTTACATTCTCTAACGTTGGCTTTTTTAGGAAGTGGAATGAATATTGATAGAAGCCAGTCTTTTGGTAAATAAAAGTTAATAAATGACCAACTTTTGACTCAAGCTAGTTATTCAATAATGTTCATAGATTCTAATAAAGATACTTTAAGGCCTTTATTTCGAATGTGAAGAATTTTTTATTCTGCTATTCATTTGTTAAAGGTTTTATCCGTTTGACCGATGTAAGTTTTGGACATTCCCCACATGTAAGTTTGTATACTCTACCGTGTATATGATTTGTCTTTTGGCTCTTGTTGTTCTTAATATATTTTCTTAAATTGTTGTTTATTCTGAAAGCTGGCGTTCTTTTTTTATGTGTTTGGCTATTTTTGTTGATAGTTGATCAAGCAGAAAGTACTGCTTTTTTTCATGTTGTAAATGTTGGTAAAAAAACTAATTTAAGAGCTTTCTTATGAAGTGTTTGGTTTAAAATTTTGTTTATTATCTGTTCGTTGTTCCTTGTTGTTTATTACTATTTCTTCAATTATATTCAATTCTTTTTTGTTTCTCCATATTTTGATAGATCATCTAGAAACAAAGATTTCATAACATTCCGTACTCAGAAAATTTTTATATTGGTGGACGATATGCTTTACAGAAACTAACAGACAAGTTTACCAATCCTCATCAAATATTAATTCTCTGCATAGTCATATTGAATTTACAATAGAAATAGAACAAAATCAATTCATACATTTTTTTAAATTTAAAAATTATCAGACTTTAAAACAAACATGAGTTCTTTGTAGTCCTATGCATACTGACATGACTCTACACAATTCATCATCCCATTATATACAACATAAATTCGCAAACAACTTCGAGTTAGAATTGCATATCATTAGGCAAATCGCAGTTAACCATGGGTACAACGTACAGACAATAAACAAAATTGTAAAACAACAACTTCATAAGAAAGCTCTAAAATTAGTCTTTCCAACAAAAGAAAAAAAATCGAGCTAATACCCAACATCGATTTGTAAAAACCGTTGTATTCTGTAAAACATTTTTACTTCGAATGAATGAACTGCCTGCCTAATACCTGCAATCTACTAAAATATCTACACCATCAACCTGAACAACCTTTTGTTAGAAGTTTAAACTTAAGGTTTAAGCTATCTTTGTTAGAATCTATGTAAATCAACAAATTAAAAAAACACAGATATATTTCTAAATGACCAATTTAAGACAAACAGTTCTTTTCTCCTTGCCCTATTTCATTAAAGACTATACAGTGTAAATGCATGCCAAAAAAATAGATCACTTGAGAAAGGCGATCAGTCGAAAAAGCTGAACTAATAAGAGTTTATAATAAATTTTGTGGAAATTTTGAAAACAAAGTTTTCAATGTTTCATTGTTACATAAAATGAATTTCCATCAAGTAACGGTCGAATCCGTTAACTATTGTCTGTAGAACAGCGGAAAAATAGTGGTATAAATATTAACGGCTCCCATCTGTGTCATTTTTAATTTGCCGATGATATCATTCTAATAAGTGATAATATTCTTGAATTGAGAGACATATTAAAAAACTAGCTTCAAAAAATCTTTGCCTGAAAATGAATATGTCTAAGACAAAAGTGATGAGTAACGACTACGAATACATAGTATACATAGACCATACAAATTGGAAATACACAATGTACATTTGTAACTTTGAAAACATTTAGAAAATAAAATTAAAAGAGACAAAGAAACCCAAACACTCATACTCGACATAGACGAAGAAAAATATTAGCTTGGGTAGCATTCGGGAAAATGAATTAAATATTTGGAAATAATAATATCGCTATAAATCTGAAGAGAAAACTTTACGATAATTATATTTTACCAATAACAATGTATGGCTTAGAAACAACGGCTATAACAACAATGTGCAATTAAAAGTAATGCAAAGAGCAATGGGTCTGACAGTGCTAGTGATGTGTATTAGTCTTAGAGACAGAAAAACTTATTAAAGAAATCCGTCAAAAAACCAAAGTGATGTGTTACACGGTCTTAAAACTGAAATTGTAGGACATGTAGCTCGACAAGAATAAAACAAGACAAACAACTAAACAGACACACTCGCGACAAAGATAGACAAAATATAGCATTGAAAGATCGATTAAAGATGGCTTGATATCAAAAAATAAGCAGAAAATAGGTAATTTTAAATAGCACAGGATAGGACAGCATGAAAAATTATAAAAATTGCATATGTTCAGGATTGGATAAAAAGTTGTCGAAGAAACAGAAGATACACCTATTAATGAATTAATATAAGTAAACATTAAACAATAATTAAAGGATCACACATAATTGTTATCTTGCGAAAACCTAAAACATTTCTGACCTTTGCTGCTCTTCATTATTTTAGTGTCATCATTATCAATGGTACTACAGCCCTATGAAAGAGTCTCGATCTTCCCAAGTCTATTACGTCAGTCCTATCCGTTGCCAACCGTTGCCAGTTTGCTGCGCCTATCTTTCTACCATACTCATCTACACCATCCTTCCATCTGAGTTTTGACCTACCCCTTTTCTACTTTCCACGGGTTGTGACATAAGGATTCTTCTTGGAGGGTTGTTCTGCTGTGATCTTGCTAGATATCCTGCCCATCGTAGTCTTCCTATTCTTATAAGAGATACTACGTCTTTACCACCACATATTTGTTTATGTCTGTGGTATACCTCGTAGTTGTATCGCCTCCTCCAAACACCATGTTCACAGATGCCACCAAATATTCCTCTCAGGATCCTTCGTTCAAATATAAGCAGAAGGTCTTCGTCTGCCTTGGATATGGTCCATGTCTCCGATCCATATGTCAACATTGGCTGTATAAGGGTTTTGTATATGGGTATTTTTTGTTTTTTGGCTTAAGTTTCTACTTCTCATATGTCTACCCAGTCCAAAATAGCATCCGTTTGACATTATTATCATTCGCTTGATTTTTTTTCGTTATGGCGTTCTCTTTGGTGATCAGGGAGCCTAAGTATGTGAATTTGTCCACCACTTCAAAGGTAGAGTTATCAACTGTGAATTGGGGACCGATGTTCCTAACTCTATTGTTGGGTGTTAATGCCATAATCTTAGTTTTCTCCTCATTTACTTGCAGGCCCATAGATTTTGAGGCATTTGAGAAGGTGGTATACATTTCTTCTAGCTTGCGTGTTGTGCGGGCAACTAGGTTCACATCATCTGCATATGCCAAAATTTGGGACGATTTATTAAAAATATTTCCTTTGTTGTCTATTCGGGCATCTCTGATCGCCTTTCCAGTGCTATGTTGAAAAGAAAATACGCCAGCGCGTCTCCCTGTCGCAGCCCAACATGCGTTCCAAACGCCCGTGATTGTTGGCCCTGTATTTCGACTTTAAACCACATTACGCATTGTAGCCTTAACCAATCTTATCAGTTTATCGGGGATGTGGAATTCGTTCATGGCTTCATACAATTTATTTCTTAGGACACTATCATAGGCAGATTTGAAGTCTACAAAAAGATGGTATGTATCGATATTGAATTCATTGGTTTTTTCCAGTATTTACCTTAGCACAAAGATCTGATCTGTTGTTGATCGACCAGGCCTAAAACCACTTTGATATTCCCCGAGAAGTTCCTCTGAATATGCACTTAGGCGACCATATAAGATCCTCGAAAATATTTTGTATGCTGTATTATTTTAGTGTAAAGTAACATAAATCGAAATGTGTTACTATATCAAGATGATGTGTATCTCATCACATCATTTGGGTATAGCAAAAACCATAATTTTAAAGGCTTAAAAATGCTTAGAAAGCAACTATAAACGCTTTCCATATTAACCTAACCTAACCTAACCAAACATATTTTTATGGTTTACTGCAAATAATGTGTATCAACGGAACAGCTTAAAGGATGCATGAAAGGGAAAAATATGCTGTTTTCAAAGAAATTCATCCCAAAGAAATGATCGTTGACCAAATCGGTCCAAGTATCGGCGTCTTAATCTGAAAGTATAAAAGAATGATAGAAGACCGAGAAACATAGAAATGCATCGTACAAATTAGTTTATATTATTATGACAGTATTATTATACATAAATTATACTAATAACAAAGACAATAATACAAATATTAAGGTGAGAAGAAATATTGAGGTCATTCTAATTCTAGAATTAGGATAAGTTTGAAATTATGTACGTTAGCTATTGAAATAAAAGAAAGTCAATATGTTTGTCCGATCACGTATGTAATGTTTAGGCATAGATAAAATGGCCTCGTAAAATTTTGTCGTAAATCTTAGATAATATCCTAAAAATTTTTAATATTTTTAATGTAAAACGTTTGAGGTGTCATCGGTAATAAGTTTCATAATAATCATAAAATAAATTAGTTTATTGAATAAAATTAAAATTATTACTTGGAATTTTATATTACAATACATTTCAAAATCAATTAGTAAAAAAAATCATAAGACTAGACAGTATTTTATAAAATTTACGCTTTGGACTGATATTTACACATGAACTTTGTTGATTTATTCTTTCTTGGATGGTTTTCCTTTCGGTTTCGAGTTGGAGAGTGATGTTACAGTTGATATTACGAACTGCACAGGATTAAATCCCTAAAAAAGTAATATACGAATATAACACGCAATATAATTATTATTGCTTGTTAAAAAATTATTATAAAAACGCTACGCAAAATAATAAAATATATTTCTACGATGCCTGTCCTCTTCCCGTTCAAAAAATTATTTTCTGAACTGGAAAAATAAAGTTACTACATTTTGGGTAAATGGATATATACACCTGAAAAATTACCATATAATTTCCACATAAGTTTCTAATTTAGGTTATATACTCCAACAAATGATTGCCGCTTCTCGCATTTCGACTGCCATCGTTTTCTGGCCATCTATTCGTCTTTTTGATGGCTCTATCTCTCATTATGTGTCATACATTTTTTTCCCAGGCAACTGAAGGCCTTTTCCTTCTTCTTTGTTGTGGTATGTAATTTAAAGCTTTCTTTGGCCATCTATCTTCATTCATTCACTTTACGTGACCATACCACACTAGTTGTCTCGTTTCAATTCTGTCTACACTGGAATATACAGTATTTGTCCTTCTTCTAATATCTTCATTCCTGATATGATCTTTTTTGGATACACCACATGCTTTCCTTAGAAAATCTATTTCTACTACTTCTATTCTTTTTTATCTTTTTTCGTGATCTGCCAAACTTCTGCCCCAGAAGTCATAATAGGCTCTACCAAGGTTCGATAGGTGGTCAATTTCGTTTCCTGTCTAATATCTTTAGACCATAGTAGAGAGTTTAAAATGGTAACCGCTTTTTTTCCCTGCTGCGTTCTGTTTTCGATGTCTCTTTTGGTAGTGCCTCCTTTAGATATTATAGATCCAAGATATATATATATATATATATATATATTATATATATATATATATATATATATATATTCATTGACATTGACTATTTTAAGATAATCTGTTTTTGACATATTCATATTAAGGCCCCATTTTTCGTATTTCTTCTTTAGTTTTCTAAACATGTAGTCCATGTGTTTCTCATCATTCGCTACGACTACCTGATCATCTGCGAAAAATAAAGTTGTTAGACATTTCCACCGCCTATGTCTATTCCCATTCCGGATACTTGTTTCATCCACTGCTTTAGCGATGATTGAATATATATTTTAAATAAGGTCGGAGATAAACAACATTCTTTTTCAAGCCGCTTTGTTATTAGAAATGATTCAGATATAAAGTTTCCTTCTTGAACGACACTTCTTGCATTTTTGTATATATTTGCGATAGCATCCACATACTCTTTACTGAGACCTACTTTCGTCAATGTTTTAAACAGTTTTTTTAAAGGTACCGTATTGTATGCCTTCTCTAAATCTACAAACAATAGGTGGGTACATAGATTCCTTGCCGTCCGTTTTTCAATTGCCTGCTGCAGAACGAATATACCATCAGTGCACGATCTTCCTTATGAAATCCATTTTGTTCTTCTATTATGATTCTGATTTTTTTCTTGCTTTTATTATTCGACCGCACAACCTCCCCACTGAGCTGATAACAATTTCCCTATAATTCGAACATTTGCGTTTATTCCCTTTCTTGAATATTGAGCTGATGTATCCAATATTCCAATCATCAAGAATATTTTGTCCTTTTAAGCATTTGTTAAATAGTTGAACAAACATCTCGTGTAATATTTTTGGTCCATACTTTATCAACTCAATTGGGATGTCTCTAGGTCCTAGAGACATCTCTTTCTATCTTTTGAGGGCATCGTTTAACTCTCCGACTGTTATCTCAATTATTTGTGTGTGTTTGGATATTTCTTACATTTCGATCTCTGGAAATTTACATCTATCCTCTGTCAGTAAGACCTCATAATGGTGTTTTCACTGTTTCAGATCTATCAACTGTCAGTTAGATTTTTCCTTTCCTTCCCTCCTGAGAGACTTTATCACCTTCCAAGCTTGCCCAACTCGTGTTCCACCCATATACCTATCCACCTCTGCACATCTTCGATCCCACATCTCATTTTTGCTTTTCACTACTTCTGTTTTTACATCTCGATTTAATTTTTGATATATCTTGCTATCTTCCTCCTTTCTCGTTGACATCGATTTCCGATAAGCAGTTTTCTTCTTGTTGACTAATATTTGCATATTCTCCGACCACCATTCTTAATTTTTTTCTTTCGTGTTTGTCTTTATAATCCAAAGCTTCACTTGCAGCCTCAAATGCATTTTTTAAGTTGCTGGTATAATTTTTGCTTTGATATATTTTCTCGATCCACATTTTGTAATTTTGTGGCCAGTCTTAACTTTTAAAGAATTTCGTTAAATCTTCTTTTAAGCTTTCTAGGTTATATTTAGTGGATGTTACCTCTTGTCCCTTTTCTATATTCTATACCTAAGTGTTATTGTTTTTGCGATAGTGAACTATTACGTTGGTCTTAACTAAACGATGGTCGGATCCACATTCTGATCCACGGTATATCCTTACGTCAGTTGTTTTCAGCTGGGAAGTTTGACGTTGGATTACATAGTTGATCATCCAGCGCAGATTCCTAGTAGGTTGTATCCATGTAAATTTGTGGATGTCTCTATGTTGAAAGAATCCGTTCATAATTTTGAGAGACATTGTTTCACAAAAAGCTCTAAGACGCATTCCGTTGTCATTGTTTATTTGTTCCCCATATCTTCCTACGACTCTGTTATTTTCTTCTATCCCTACTCTGCCGTTTAAATCTCCTAGTATAAAGATTTCACAGTTTTATTTAATTTCAGAGAGTATTTTATTCATCTTGTTGTAGAAATCGTCTTTACTTTCTGGATCTGCATCTACACTTCGACAATTACGATGTTGTGACAATTTAGTTTTTTTAATAAGTTAATATTTTTTAAGTTAATTGAGAGTGAAAATATTCATTATTCAAAATAAAACCACGTTTTCAGACGGTTTTTACAAATAACTCAAAAATTAATTACTTCAAATCTGAAAAAAATGTGCTTAACAAAAATGTAGCTTATAAAAAAATAAAAAAAATGACATACATATGAAGTCTGTAGACCTAGTAAAAGCAGAGTTGTAGCTGATGAAAAGTAGGTTCTTATTTGTCAAATTTCAATCGAATAATTCAACGTGAAATTATAAAAAAATAAAAAACTCTTCGGGGAAAACTCATTAAAATTTTTTGAAAGTGTTAAAAAAAACTTTCATCAATCATCATCAACTAGCCTCTAACGTCCACTGCTGAACATAGGCCTCTCGCATGCTTTTCCACTTAGTCCGATTTTGCGCCATCTGAATCCAATTTGTAGTCACTCTTTTTATGTCATCTATCCATCTCGTTGGGGGTCGACCTCTATTTCTGTAAGCTTGTATTCGGAGTCTCCATTCCAAAATTCTTTTTGTCCACCGGTCATCAACTGATCTTGCTACATGACCTGCCCAGTTCCACTTTAGTGTTGTTATTCTTTCAATAACGTCTGCTACTCCTGATCTTTTGCGTATAGTAGCATTGGGTATTCTATCACGTAGAGAAATCCCTAACATAATTCTCTCCATTACTCTTTCCGCAACTTGTAGTTTACTCACTGTTGTTCTTCTGAGCGTTAGGGTTTCTGCGCCGTAGGTCATCACTGGCAAAATACATTAATTAAATACTTTTCTTTTCAGACACATTGGAATCTTAGACCTAAAAATATCCTTCATCCTTCCAAATGCAGCCCAAGCGAGGTTTATTCTTCTTTTCAGCTCGATTGTTTGGTTGTCTCGACTTATTCTAATCTCATGGCCTAAGTATTTATAGGACTCAACTGGCTCAATATCTTTGTCTTCTACTGAGATGTTTTTGTTGTGGGACTAAATTTGTCATAAATTGTGTTTTTGAAAAATTTATTTTAAGACCAACTCTTTTTGTGGCAGTATGGAGTTCTTGGAGCATTATCTCTGCCTGATCAAAGCTGTCTGCAATAAGAACGATATCATCTGCAAATTTAAGGTTATTTAAAAATTTTCCATCTACATTGATGCCCTTTTCGTTCCAATCTATTGTTTAACAAGCGTATTCTAGCAAAGTTGTAAATAATTTAGGAGACATGTTGTCTCCTTACCGAACGTCTCTTTCAATACGAAAAGTCCCAGTATCTTCATTAAGTCTTACACAGGCTGTAGCATGTTGATAGATGTATCTGATGAGAGATATGTATCGGTGATCTATTCTACATTGTGTTAGAGCTTGGAGCATTTCACTTTGATTGACCGTATCAAATGCTTTTTCAAAGTCGACAAAGACAAGTATCAGGGGTCTATTAAATTCAATGGTTTTTTCAATCAACGACTTAATGGTTTACAAATGATCATTTGTTCCGTACCCAGCTCTAAATCCTGCTTGCTCGCAAGGTTGATAGAAGTCTAGTTTTGATGTCAACCTATTAGTTATTATCTTCATAAACAACTTATAAACGATAGATAACAAGCTAATAGGTCTATAATTCTTTAGCTCTGTTATATCTGCCTTTTTGTGCATGACTACTATAACAGCTTTATTCCACTGAGATGGTGTAACCTCGTTTGAAAGGCATAAGTTATATAATTGCGTCAATGCTTTCAATACTGTCTTTCCTCCTGCTTTAACTGCCTCAATAAGTTTGTTGTTTTTCATTCTATTTAATGACTTTAAGACTTCTTCGATTGTTATTTCTGGGATATCCTCTGAACCCACATTCTGGACTTTTCTCAACTTGGTGCCGTCTTTCTTCCCCCTTTCTCTATATAATTCTGTGTAAAATTCTTTAACTACCTTAATTATCTTATCTTTATCTGTTACCACTTTTCCATTTCGATCTGCGAGCTTAACAATGTTCTTCTTACCTAGAGCTTGACATCTCTTCAGCACCTTTAAACTTTTATTTTTCTCGACAACCGTTGTAATCTTTTTTGTGTTATATTGTCGTACGTCCTTTCTCACTGCTTTATTAATATCTTTATTAAGTTGTTGTAGTACGCGTGCATTCGTATCGTTCTTGTTCTTAAGTTCTCTTCGTGCCTCCATAAGTCTTTTTGTTTCTTGACTGATCTTTTCCTCCTTATCTCTCCTAGAATTTGTATTGCACTTTTTCTCTGCGTTCTTTATAGCTTTATAGCTTTTATTAAGTTATCATTTAAAGTTTCGATATCCATAACGTCTATATTTGTTGTCTCTAGACATCTCAGAATTTCCTCTTCGAAAGACATGGTGTTTTCGATTGGATTCCATTCTATTGGGTGTGTTTTTGTTATCATTTTGTATCTTTGTTTTTGGAGATTTAGCACGATCTTCGCTCTTACCATTCTATGATCACTTCCCACTGAACAGCTTTTAAGAACTGTTACATCATGGATCATGTCTTTATTGTTGGTTAAGACAAAATCAATTTCATTTTTGGTGACTCCATCTGGACTTGCCCAGGTCCATTTTCTTTGGGGACTTTTTTTGAAAAAGCTATTCATTGCAAAGAGGCCATTTCGTACCAAGAAACCCAAAAACATTTCACCTCTGTCATTTCTTTGTCCGAATCCATAGGGACCTATTGCTACTTCGGTCCCGTCTAGTTTACATCCCAACTTAGCGTTAAAGTCACCCATTACTTTACTTTTAATGTTTCTAGAATCAAACCTAAGCGAGTAACGCTTAAAATAAATTCGTAAAAACATCGCGAAAATCAACCACTAATTAGCACCCCAAATAAAATTATTCGTAACTGCTTTACAAATTACTTTATTTTTGTATAGTTTATATACTCATGGATAAAAATATCAAATATTATGGGATTTTACAATTTTTTTTGTAATCACTATTATATTTAAAATTTTAGATTATTGACAATACTCATATAGTAGGGTAATGTACTCAACTGGTTTGAAATATTTTGACGTTTATTTTGATGTTTATTCAGCGTTTCGTGTCATTCGTACATTTTATCATAAAAAATCTTCTTCACGTAAATAAAAAATCTTACTACTTCGCATATTTTTAGTTTAATTTATTAAGTTTAATTAAATATCGTTTTAATTTAACTAAGTTTAAAACAAGTATACCACCAATTCGGCACTGCGGTGGAGTCCAAGTAGTACAGATTGTAATTTTGTATGAGAAAAGATATGCACAAAAAGATATAGCACGACGTCTTAGGAGAAATCAATCTACAGTTTCGAATACTTTAAGAAGGTACCGCGAAACAGAAAATTTTGTACAAAGGCCTGGTTAAGGACGCCCAAGGCTCATTAGCGCAATTGATGGCCATTTTTGGTTCTTAATTCTACACAAAATCATTCATTGACATCGATGCACCTCAGAAATGAGCTACTAAATGTTAGACAAGTTAATGTGAGTTTAGAAACAGTTAAGACAAAGATTAAAAAAAGCAAACTTAAAGCCCAGACGCCCCGCCAAAGTTCCACGTCTTTTCCAAAATCATAAAGCCCGTCGTTTAGAATGTACAAGAACACATATTCAGTGGAATATCGGAAACTGGAAAAATGTTTTTTTTTACTGATGAGACCAAGATAATATTATGGAAGACAGATGGTCAAAGCTACGTCTACAGAAGAGTTGCAGAACGATTTGCCAGCTATAATCTCGCCCAGACCGTTAGTTCTGGAGATGGTGGCATACATCTTTGGGAAGGTATTAGTTCGGAGGTACATATCGCACTTGTAAAAGTGATTGGACATATGACTGGTGACTCTTACGTTTAAAACATCCTGCAAGATAATGTTTTGCCAGTTGTTTATATTGGATATGAAAGATTCATGTTAATGCACGATAATGTTCGATCACATGCCGCTGCCATTTAAATCCAATAGAGCACGCGTGAAATCACCTAAAACGCCGCATACGACAAAGAAATCCCGTTCCAAATACGATAGAGTAGCTTTAACTTGCTGAACAGAATAAATGGAATGCAATTTCCCAAGGATGTGTCCAAAATTTACTTCTAATAATGCCGAGAAGGAGGCAAGCAGTAATAAGAGCTAGAGGGGGAATACTTGGTACTGATCATGCACTCGTTTTAGTTAAAAAGATTTAAGTAATTTAAATTAGCATGTAAGTTTAGAGTAAAATAATCTTATTTATCTAATATTAAGCATTTTTTTTTCGCAAATTTCTTTGCATAAAAACAACTTTTATTAAATTAAAATAAACTCCATTTCACAATAAACTACTTGATTGACCAGAATTTATTTTGAAAAAACGAAAATTAAAAAATTCCGAAATATTCGATATTTTTGTCCATGAGTGTATAATCGGTAATAAGTTTAACCAGTTCAATGTCCTTAGTTTTGAAAAAATTTGGTTTTAAAGTAAAAGCAAAATTTTTGAATTTTTGAAAAAAATTTTTTGTTTTTGTCTTGTTTCAAAATAATTATATTATTTTAATTATAACTAATCTATGGAGCGAGATTTAGGTGGTGAGATGTAGGGGGTGGGATTTGGGGGTTAAACTATGATTATATGTTAAGTTTTTGTTGTTTAATCTTAATTTATTTACTCCATTAAAAGATTATTAGAGTCAACTATCGGCTTTAATTTACCATTATACGATTATTTTTTCCAATGGAGTAGTTTTCACCCTTTAAAAATAAAAAGCAACCAACAGCACAAGTTCAAAAGTGAAGTGAAGGGTAAGCAAAACCAAGATCCAAATTTTCATGCACTTCGGTGGTGACACGAGAAAGTACACGGTATTGCCGTATTTCAAGTTCATTTACTGGCCTATCCGTAGCGGATTTTAAAATATTTACTTACTCCTCCTCCACTAGCACCAAAGATAGTTTTAACGAAACCTCCTAGAAATCCACCAATATCAAGACCACCAGGTTTGACTCCAAACTTTCCTCCCTGATCGTCATCGCTCGGCTATAAATAAAACGTAAAATAAACTTGATTATTAAAATATTAAGTTGATAATGATTCAATTATTAAATTATGCAAATAGTGCAAATAAGAAAGTTAATGTGATTTGTTGGAAATAATACGATTAATTCGTCATGTTGGTGTATAACAAAGACATTATTTTTTTATACGAACCTGAACGCTCAAGGCTGGCAAAATACCTGATAATAGTTTTGCGGTTAAAACTCCAACACCTTTCTAAAATAACATAAAACAAATTATTAAACTAATAATTGTAGAATTTTTATATATAAAACATTACCAAAGATAGAACATACTGTTTATTAATAAAAATAATAAAAATTAAATTTACATTATCATTAATGCAGAAGAGCTTTTTATTAACAGCTGTAAGCATTTAAAAAGTCACAAGATAAAAAAGATCAGTATTGCAAGAGATGATTTTATAATACTTCAATACCTACAAATATATGTTGGGCTAAAATATTATCCTAAATCTTCTTCTTCTTAGGGTGCCTGTCCGTTCCGAACATTGGCGATCATTCTGGCTATGTTAAATTTGTAGGTTGGTATACGAAATAGCTGTGTTGAGGTCTTTCTATACCATGCTTTTAGGTTAGCAAGCCAGGACTTCAAGCAAGGTACTTTGGCCCTTTTGCCTTTAATTTTACGTTGCAAAATGCACTGAAGTAGCTTGTATCTGCCCTAATTTCCTATTATATTTTCCGAGTACTGTCGCTTACGGTCTTTCACGATGTTGATCAAATCCGCGGTTGTGTTAATCCACCGCAGTACTTCATCATTGGTGACTTTGTCTGTCCATGGTTTTTTCAGGATCCTTCTGTATTACCATAGCTTAAAAGCCTAAAGTTTTGATAGAGTTTCCGCCTTCAATGTTTACGTTTCTACTCCGTACAGAAGCACTGAATACACATAACATTTAAGGAGCCTAATTTTTATTTCTGGGGTGAGGTTATGGCTATTGAACACAGAGCTCATAGTCAAGAATGCACTATTTGCCCTTTCGATGCGACATTTAATCTCTTGGGTATTGTCATACGACTCATTGATTATGGTTCCTAGGAAGTTGTATTGTGAGACACGTTCAATTCTCATTTGGTTCACATACAGATTTACTCCAGTTATGTTTTCCTTGCTGATGACCATTAGCTTGGTTTTGCTGGTGGTAATATCCAGTCCATATGTTTTACTTGATTTGTTTTTTTTTTGTTCATTAAGTTTTGCAGCCCTTCTATCGTATTGGAAAACACTATTGTATCATATCTGCATACCGCAGGTTCTTGAGCTTGACTCCATAGACTGAGATGCCTTCATCAATATCCTTTAGAGCCTCTTCAAAAATGTACTACGAGTACAGATTGAATATCATTGGTGAAATTATGCACACTTGTCTCACACCTCTTAAAATTTTGACCTGATCTGTGTATTTTCCATCTATTCGAAACACCGCTGATTAATTCCAATACAGGTTAGCTATTATTTTTAAGTTTTTTCCATCAATCCCTGTCCTCTTCAGCACTTCCATCATTTGTTCATGCCTAACTATCGAAAGCCTGCTTGTAGTCAATCAGGCGTGCAAAATAATTACAACTGACACCTCTACATTTCTGAAACAATACCTACACGCTAAATATCTAAATAAAGCTTTCCTCGTACCAACGGCGTTCACAAATCCAAATTGATTGGGCGCAATTTGTTCCTCGCATTTCCGGTAAATTCTTTTGTGGATGACTTCTGGAAACGGCTTCATCAGATGACTCATTAGGCTTATAGTTATATAATCTTCACAAACTTTTGCTCCTGATTTTTTGGGCAATGGTACAGTTCGCGTCATAAAAAACTGGTACAACACTTAAAATCAAAAATTGTGTTTCTTTAAGTTGTTTACGTTGATCTTGTCACATGTATCATTCTAATTTTTAGGGCACCATTGCCAGTTCAATTAAAATATTATATGAAACCTGCTGAAAGCAGAGCTGTGTGACAGACCGCCAGTTTTGAGTATACTAGAAACTAAAATATTATCGAGCATTTTCGATCAGTCACATTTAAATTTGTTTAAACACGCATCTTAAAAAATTCTCATATTAATTTTGTGATTTTCCATTATCTCAATTAAGTACCTATACATTGATTTGTGTTTGATAACAATTTATGAAAATATTTAAATTCAAAAATAATGATAGATAATTAATCTAGACATAACTTCAAATTATTAACGTTTTAAAAAGCGTTTTTTCGCCCCGAATAACTTATAATTTATAATACGTAGGATAAAATATGTTAGTTTTTCTTTTTTTATCGATCTTGTAATAAATAATAATTTAATCTTGGTAGTGTGTCTGTTACAAAACTTACTGAAACAAAATACTGTTCGAGTTCGGTAAGTAATTGAAGTATAAAATTACGCTAGATGCATTCCAATGTTCTCTGTGCCATTACCCTAGGTTTAAAGATCCTTAAAACATTTTGGATATTAACTCAACCCTATCTCTGCATAATTGATTTATTTGATACGGTTTTTTGTTGTTAATGATAAAAATAATACCTATCTAAAAATTTTATACATTTATAAACGTTATTTTTTTATTTAGATTTAGTGAAATTCCCTTATCTGTGATGGCAACAACAAATTGATTCACGAACCATTGTGTCCAGTCTGAACACAGGTTTTTAATTTTGAAAAAAACCAGTTTTATTTGACGGGAAGTGTACGAACTGCGATTTGAGCCACTCTATGGTATTTTTTTCCTGGCCTTGCTATTTTTTATTCACAATATTCTTAAGTTCATGTTGCACATTTGATTAATCTGCTGCATACTAATAGCATCCACTTGTTCTGCAGGCACTTTCATTTATTACACTGGACGCTTTCCTCCCACCATCCCATTCTTGCCACCAAACACCATACCCCTATTCCTTTTATCTTCCTCTTCCGTTACGCAAACACAAATTCGTCTTCATTCAGTCTGTTATGATTTTGCCGCTGCTTAAGCGATTTTCGGAACATCTTCACGTATTATTCTCCTTTATCTTTCGCAACCTGAACTTACCACACTCCATATCACACCGACTGTGAACAGTCCCCGCTATATATCTAATGACATTGTTCTGTTTTTTACGTTTACTCCTTTGATCTCATACAAACTACGTTAATTTTTCTCCTTATGACGATCGATATGTATATCTCACCTATATTCCTGGACATTTTCTTTGTCATTTTCCAACTTCCCCGTCTGATCCATAAGACTTTAAGTATAAATCTACCCACTAGGGTACATCCACATGATGTCGTGTCCTCCTGTATCTGTTCTTAAGGTTTTGTTTCTTTTAGCTATCTCGCCATGTTTTCTTGTATGATAATTTCGACTTTCTCTCTTACAGTTTCTGCCCATTTCAGCAACTCACCATTATGCTCTTGCGGTCCATTCAACCCTCCCCACATTCGTCATGACTATTCTGGGATTTTGTTGTGAAGCTTTTTTCAATTGTTGCGCATTTTAAATTTTAACTTAAATATCATATACTGATCACCTCTGCGGAACTCCGCCCCCCATGCCATTGGTACAAAAGTATACGTTTATTGTCCCAGTTTTAATTTCCAGCTTCAGGGAACATCGTTCTCAAAATACTTAACTGCTAAATGAAACAAATTCTTATTCTTTTTGGATTACTTTATGTGAGGACACTATCTTCTGAGATTAATTTAAAGGTAAGCTATTTGGGCGTGGCATTTAGCGTTAACTCTTACAATAATACACACACAATATCTGAATCTTTATACTGCTTTCGTATTCTACCAAAACTCCCCTAGAAAGATGAGAGACCCCTCAACCAACACCCCCCGTCACCCCCTCCCACCCCCCACAATACCCAGTCTTCAATCCCCACACTCTCCCACCCCACCCAATCGCTAACACACAAACCCACCCTATAACTATTTACTGGGCGTTTTTTTCATTAATAAATAACTTCGTACCTTTCAATATGGGTAATCAGGCATCCCTACTAACATGGATATACCGAGGAATTTGCCACACAATAATTGGTCTCATTCAGCATAATTAGAGCTGCTTCTTTGATTTTTTCTTTTTTTACTATCCGTTAACCATGCGTGTTTACATATTTGAGATCTATAAAATTCTCTATTTTTAATATAAGATTGATGTTCACTTATTCTAACATTTAATGGCCTTGATGTTTCACCTAAATAAAACTGATCGCATTCACAAGGTATTTTATAAATGCAATTCTTTGTCCTTTCTTTCTTAACAACTTAGAACGAGATCCTACAGCATACACAAAAAAAATAACAATACCGTACCAGGAAAATAATAATACCGTACATAAAAGGATTATCAGAAAAACTTAAAAGGATAGGAAATAAATTCAACATTTCAACAACATTCAAAACAATAAACACGGATGGTAAAAAAAAAATCAAAGAAGCGGCTCTAATTATGCTAAACGAGACCAATTGTGTCGCAAATTCCTCGGCTGAATGTAGTAGGATCTGGTTACCCATATTGAAAGAGGAGGTTATTAAGAAGAAAATGCCAGTATTAGTAAGTCAGTAACATATAGAGGATACATTATTTATGTTTTTTTAAATAACAAACATATAAAATCAGAATTACGTGTTTATAGAAGGTAAACTAAATGCACGACTAAATACTTACCATGTCGGGATTGTATTATGTGGTTTTTTTCCTGGTTTTTTCCTCATAATTTACTATGGAATTACTAACAGGAGAATTTTACTGCCATCATGTCATGTGTTTGTCTTTTTAAAGACGAATTACATGCAATGATTTTTTCTGACGGATATTTTCAAGTTAAAGTTGATTTCATGTAATCGAATGAACTATCTTATAAGTAAAGTCGTCCCAGGAGCGCAACTCAACGATATTGGCAATATTATTTTAAAGTCATCTACTTTAAAATGCAAAATGTATGTCTGAATTGTCAATTTAAATGAGTTAGATAAAATTAAATTATTAGAAGAATTTTTCACTAAGTAACAAAAAACAAAATTTGTTTAATTTACTGTTTGTATTTTGAGAACAATTTCCGAAGTGGAAATTGAAACGTCAATAAACGTACTTTTACCTTTAATTGTGGCTTATTCCCAGTTAAATAGTGAATACTGGGATCTTTCAGTTTTATAACATTATACTTCTTTATTGACTTACTTGTAACCTTCTTCGTTCTTACTT